TTTTATCCAACGCAATCATAGGTTTGAACGTTGTTTTCAATTTAGACTTGTATATATATATATATATATATATATATATATATAAACAAGTCTATGTTGTTCGACTTCCATTGAGCATGTTGAGGACGAAAATCATATACTTTAATTTTGCCTGCTATATGATAGTATAAGAGACAGAATAAAATATTGAATTGGAAGAAAAATATCACTGTCAGTTATAGTTTTTCATTTTCTTTATAACTTTGTTAATTTTTTTCAAGTCAAATATATATTTCTGAGGATCTCTCATGTTCAAAATAACGTGAAATGTGCCCCTCTAGCTGAAGGCTCCACTAGTAACACCCGCCCTACAAAGAAGAGTAGCGATTGAGCAATACGAACTCAACCAAAAACCGGCTGTGAACTCTGGTGCCCTCTAGCTGAAGGGTGAGCATTTCCGACTCCACTTGTAACACCCGCTTTGTTCTTCCGGTTAAAATAATTGCTGAATAATTTCTGGAGAAACATATTCCGTATTTCTTAATCGTACTTGTTCATATGTTTTCCATATTGTCTGCCTCTAACATATTATATATTTTGTTGTTATTGTTATGTGAAATTTTGAAAACTATCAAATTAAAATTAAGCGTTAAAAAGTAAAAATATCAAAACCAGAAGAAAATTATTGTGTTGTATATTTCCTGATGTTTGTTTAACATAGATAAACATTATTGCTACAAATGCCAACCTTTGTTCAAATCAACATGTAGGTGCAAATAATACAATTAGTAACTTATTTAAAATTGAATATCCTGTACGTGCATAGTGCATAAATACGCCGATATATAATTCCAAATAATTATGACGTCTTTGAAGGCTATTTCGAAGTCTGCGTTGGTGTCTTTCTTCGACAAACAGGAATCTATTAAAATCAAAATAGAAAAATACCCTCAGCATGAGTTACTGGACTACCAAAACATATGCAAACACTTCAAAATATGACATATTCAATATTCAATATTACATTGGTGAGTCATGATTGAGGCTCACTGTTTACCTAGAAAAGTATGAGATTTATGGAATGGACAACAATGGAAAAAAAGTATAAAAAATACAGAAAAATGGTTTAAAAAAATATAGAATAGAGCAAAATTGTTCCAAAATATGAAGTAAAGAGAAAAATGGCTAAAGAAATTTAAAGAATAGAGAAAAACTGTTCCAAAATATAGAGTATATATAGAGCAAAATGGTTTCACAAAAAAGAAAAATGGTAAAAACTTAAAAATATGCGGAAAATTGCTCAAAAAATACTTAACCGGATACCTTCAAACTGTTATCATGTGTTCGTATCATCTGACACCTAATCAATCAAGCAGGTCAGTAATGGTAAGTCTCTCAAGCATTGCTACAAAAAAATTCAAACGCGACAGTTTATAAATAGAAAAATACTTAAGCGGATACCTTCAAACTGTTATTATATATTCGTATCATCTGACACCTAATCAATCAAGCAGGTCAGTAATGGCAAGTCTCTCAAGCATTGGTACAAAAAAACTTCAGACGCGACAGTTTATAAATAGAAAAATTAAATCTCTCAACTATTGGTACAAATAAAACTTCAAACGCGACAGTTTATAAATAGAAAAGTTAAATCTCTCAACTATTAGTACAAATAAAACTTCAAACGCGACACTTTAAAAACAAATCGATTGCTTTTCTTCAAAATGATTGTAATGCATGCAAACAATGTCGATATTTTACTTGTTTGTCTCTAGAGAAAAAGGATTATTATTGCCTATTGGGCAACTTTCTGCCAAAAACCAGAGGACAAGGAAAGTTTCATTTAATTATTTTTCGAGAGAGATAAGATTATTATTACCTATTGGACAGCTTCACCCGAAAGACCAGGGGACAGGGAAAGTTTCTTTTCTTTATTTTCTAAGAGAAAAAAGATTATTATTACCTATTTGGCAACTTCCCTCTAAAGACCAGAGGACAAGGAAAGCTTTTTTATTTACTTTCCAAGAAGGAAAAGATTATAATTACCTATTGGGCAACTTGCCAAAGACCAGAGGACAAGGAAAGCTTTTTTATTTATTTTCCAAGAGAGGAAAGACTATTATTACCTTTTGGGTAACTTCCCCCAAAAAAACAGAGGACAAGGAAAGTTTATTTATTGATTTTCCAAGAGAGAACAGATTATTATTACCTATTGGGCAACGTTCTGCCAAAGACCAGAGGACAAGGAACGTTTCTTTTATTCATTTTCCAAGAGAGAGAGAAGATTATTATTGTCTATTGGGCAACTTCTCAAAGACCAGACGATAAGGAAAATTTCTTCTATCTATTTTCTAAGAGAAAAAAAGATTATCATTACCTATTGGGCAACCTCCCCCTAAAGACCAGAGGACAGGAAAAGTTTCTTATATTTATTTTCCTAGAGAGAAAGGATTATAATTGCCTGTTGGGCTACTTCCTGCCAAAGACCAGAGGACAAGGACAGTTTTTTTTAATTATTTTCCAAGGGAGAAAAGATTATTATTACCTTTTTGGCAAGTTTTGTTCTCTATGTACTATGTCCTATGAAAACTGTGTTCTAGGATGGTAGACATATTGGGAATTGGTCATGAACAATGAAAATTCTCCAAAACTAGCATAAACTAGCAAATTGTTCAGACACCAACTATTCATTTTTATTTTTTTTTTTATTATTATTATATTTTTTTTGTAGGTGCATATTTTACACAATTTCATTAATATATTATAAGCTTGATACCTTTTACTTAATTTCAATTCGACCGGTTGTGTCGGGGATCTCATCGAAGTTTACGAGAAACGATAGGCGCAAAGCAACGCTTCGTGATTATCCTTTTGCCAGATGGGCTTTATTTTAATACACATTACAGTGGAAAAGGAGTGGCATTTTAATGATGAGCAAATAATAATAAAAAAAAAAAAAAAAACGAACAAAAAATTACTCACATCAATAGTATAAAAGTCTCAACGTTAGTCAGTCAGTCCTTTTTCATAATATTTTTACGAATACAACAAATAGTTATCGTTTGTTATAGTTGTATTTTTGGTGACTTGAGCCGATAGCCCCTGGTCACAAATATTTTATGTGTATTCGATTGTATTATTGACATATAAGCCATATACATTATCAAAAAATATAAATTAAAAAGTCCATTTGTCAGGTAAAAATATCTTAGAATTTACAGTTTTAGCTATTCATATTATTTGATACTTAATATCAAGAGAAAATGATTGTCCTGAATATGGATATGAATAATGCGTGTGATACAAGCCACTGGACATTCATCAATTAGAAACTAATCATTAGAAAAAGATTAGAAAAAGTTTCAGTAATATTGAACGCACAATCGTTACCATGAGTTCTCCACTCCACAAACATTTAAACATTCAGACTATTTTTTTAATTATTGGAAAATATTTTTTTATATAAATCTGCCGTTTAATGCTGCGTGAAACTTTTAAAAAGGAACATTGCAAATCTAAGAAAAAAAAACGAAACTTATCATATAAACTATACAAATATCTACAGATCTTAATATAACTGAATATGGTTATTTATAGGATTTTTTCAATAGAAATTTGCCTTGGTATACATGAACGCTATCTCCGTATAGTTTTACGTCTGCCAACATACGTCACAGCTACATATCTTTTCAAGAGAGAAAACAACGAATGTGTAATAATGATCACATAAAGGCCAAAAACAGAGATTGAAAAAACTCTTTCAAAAATTCTCCACTACTTCAGACAAAATTTTGGCAACAGAAAATCATGAATACTGTAGTTTCAATTTTATACACTGTAAGCACACAAACATATATATAATATATGATTATGTTTTATATATTAAATAATTCACATATGGGTGCATAATTTTATCCTTTATTACAAATACGAAATTCACATGATAAATATACATATACGCGTGAATAGTACGCGATACTCATTTTCGAAAATAAATGGGATTTTGAAAATATGAATAAATTTCTTGAGACATTTATTTCTTCTTGTAATTGTCACAAAACTGATAATCGCTTAAATTTCCTGTAACAGTAAACTCTTTTGGCAGAGAATGTGACAACTTTAGATTATTTCATAATTAATCTCCCCTTTAAAAAATAGTAGATGTCAAATCGATTAACAATAAAATTTAAAGTTTTGTTCAATAATTTTCGCTAATTAACTGACCAAAAGATGACTAAACTAGCCACGCTGACTGCCAAGACCTCTGACCAGTGTTGATCACACCCGAGAAGTTCACCTGTCAGGTACCGGTATTGTCAATCATTATGAACTGACCAATCATATCGCGAGTTTCATTAGTGAACTATGTTTTATAATAACTTTTTGTGGTCATTTTTCTATATCTATTGTGCAAGTCCATTGTGATTCACGGCTTTTAGTCTTCGATGTAGGTAAATTTGTGAAATAATAGAAATTATATTGAATATCCTTGTTTGGTTTGAAATTCGTGATAACCAATGCGAGATTTATTTTACGGCGCTCTAATAAGATTAACTACACGGCTAATTCTCACTTGAACACTTTTTACCGAAAATAGGTGCGATACATTGTTTCACACATTTGGTTAATGCGATAGATCTCTTTTTGTCAAATTCTATAATTTGATAACGAAATAAATAAACATGCAACAGACAAACGATTTAAACTGTGAGCTTGATAATTCAGCGAATTTTCCTCACTTTACCGAGAGAAGTGGAACGGAGAATTTTCAACAGAACACTGATCTGGTGTCTTGTTTGAATGAACAATACTCCGAAAGAAATCTGAAGGGGTATTACTGCGAGTATAACTCTCCAGAAACAGCAAAACAGCAACAAGAAAGAAGATCCACGTCATATGTTCAAATTTCACCAGAAAAATCTTCAGAAGATGGAAATGAAGATCACGCAAGTTCCGATGGCGGATACTCATCGCCAGGAGGGAGTGATGGACCAAGTTTTATCTCTCTACAGCCTGCTAATATGGAACACATGCAGAAAACAGCTGCCTTGGATTATCCACCTCAATACCAACAACAACATCAACAGCCGGATATGCATCATCAATATCAGCAGTATTCTGGGTACGATACCGTTCCTTATTATCCTCCTCCTCAAAGCTATGATCCTGCCTCACCTCCACCTCAGTGTGCTGGAATGCCACCGATGTCGTGTATTTCACCACCTCAACAGATGCCACCACAGCGGCAAGTTTGTGTGTACCTCTGCAACAGAGAACTTTGGGTAAAGTTTCATCAACATACAACAGAGATGATCATCACTAAACAAGGAAGGTAATTCAATTTATTTAAGTTTTCTATATTTCCTGGGAAACTCAGTCGTAGAAATATTTATCGAACTTTTTCATATTTGAGGGACTAGGTGGGGTTTACAGAATAGAGAATGATGCGCAAAAAAAGTATACATTGGTGAAAAATGGTCCCAAATGATAAATAGTAGATAATAATGGGTGCTATAAATAGAAATTAGTGAAAAATGTGCCGAAAAAGTAAATAATCTATAGAGAATGGTCTAAAAATAAAAACAGCAAAATTACAGAAATGTACTTCCTCATCCAGACTTTCATACTTAATATTTGTAAGTAATATCGAAATCATATAGTTTTGATATAATAATGTGAATATTTAAATTATAACATCAAATTTAATTCTCATAAAATGATTTCACAAATGTAAGAAAACATTATTTAGCTTATAAGCAAAATGTGCAATGACAGATGAGCGAAACTACGGCAGCGTATACAAAGTATATAAAAAGATGTAATCGACAAAATACCAACTACTTAGAAAGAATTAGTTTAGTTAGGTTTTTACAAGTACATAAATTTACATCTTTTTTTTCATCCAAAAATAGAAATCTTGCGCAAACTAAAAAATTACTCGAAGGTTAAAGTTTTTGGCCCAGAACAAATAAACATTATAGTTTAAAAAATTGTGAACATATTTTTTATTATTCTGGTTTATTCAACAATGATTGATATCCCCGAAATTTCTACATATGTTTTCCGTGATATTTCATTATTAATTTTTTTCCGTTAGCTTGTTATATTGAAATAAGAAAGTTCATATTTTTTCTCTGAAATTTATTAACTTATTCTAATATATCTTTATGAAAATATCAATAAATCTCTTTTTGTGGATAGCATTTTATTCCATTTAAAACCGAAAACAAGACAACCTTTTCTCTTTTTGTTTTGTTTTAACTAAAACAGACATAAAATAAAAGGTTTTATTTTCCTAGTTTTTAGAATTGACTAATTAACAAAACAAATATCAAGGCTAAAAGTTAGTTGCCCGCACGAAACAACAAAATGCTTTCAATATGAAATATCTTGCAAAACCAAACCGCTAAACATCACGGTTATTGCGTATATTCTTTTCATCTGAAATAGTTTTAAATACGCTTTTAGAGTTTAATTTTTTCGAAGAAATTTAAAATTGACTAAATCAATGTGTACGTGTATTTACTATACATTTTGTACATCAATTACGCAATGGTTAATTGCTTGATTGATATTTGAGTCGATTTAACCATTTTGAGATAGTATCCAGCGGCAAATATTACATTCATACATTTGTAATCTTGAAACTTTTTAGGACAATTGTCAAGCAATAAAATGAAATTATTAAAAAAGAAATATATACATGACTTTTTGTAATAATTCTGTATAAAAAAGGATATGAACAGCAACATTTTTTTTCATTGAACACATAATTGCTCCTTCCGTATAATTTAGTACCAACTTTAAACTAAATCAAAGTTTTAGACGAACAAATACTTAGAATGACATGTAAGGAATCGTGTGTTAGAAATACTGAAATAGATTTAGTTAATAAATTAGAAACGAAGTCACGGACTTCTCCTGAAAGTAAAATATTTGTAAAAGTTAAATCGGTCATGTTTACAGAATAATTAAAGGTTGTTTAACTGATTGGTAATTATTTAAAGCCACAATTCGGTACATTTTAGCTATCTCATAGCAATTAACATTTAGTGGATATCATTGAGCTTTGAAGATAGTTCTAAAATAAACACGGGTCTATACTAATAAAATGAAAATGAATAGATCTTACTTGCTGCAAAAAAAAATATAATATTGTTTATAACTATAGTCACGCGAATCATTTCTTCTTAAGGTGGACAATGACATACTTATATTCTTAAATATTTTTTGTTGATACAAAAACAGAAAAATATTTATTCAAGAGTAGTAACCAAACACAGGAGCAAACGTTCAATTGTTTCTTTGTACAAATAAACTTTTGATATATACACAAACTAGTGCGAGTTTGTTAATTTCTGTCAAAACACAGACTATTTAAAGTGTGAAAACAAATTAGCATATTTATCATTCTTCTATTACTGCAGATTTATGGTGATAATCCCCATTGAATCTTTTTATCAATAGTTTGAATCAATGACTTTTCATTTTTTATAAAGTAGATCATGTCGACTTTTGATCTATTCGGTCAACATTAATAACATTAAGGTTTATTAATAGAAGCTAAAAGTTACATCAAAATTTGTGTAAACTAAAATTACGAACTAAACTAATGTACTATTTTTTTTTCTTTTATTTTTTGTGTTTTTATATTTTTATAATTCTATTTGTTACGTTATCATACGTTCATTCTAATTATTTAAATTTTGAGGATAAGCGTATTTTAGTTTTATTTTACTGTTAATCTAACTAAATATAAAATAAATGTTATTGAAAACATCAATGTTCGACAATGTTATTGGTGACACAAATAATCATCATCGGCTATTACAGAACTTAAATAAAAATGGCTTGTATGAGGAAAGTGTTGCGCTTATAGCACAGAAAGACTCCTTGTATATTCTTTCAGATTATGCCCATTTGGAGGCTTTTCTATGGCTTAATTTTTAGATTCTTCCTAACTCGCATATATAACTTGTGGCAGTTTAAATTCGTTCACCGTTTCAGTCCTATCCTATCCTATGTTCTAATTCATTTTTTTTTTCTCGTGTTCATTTTACAACTATTATTTCATTTTCTTGATATTGTGTGTTTTTTTTTTTGTGTTGCTGGGGTGTAAAACATCAACAGACACTTACATTGTTATCAAAGTTAATGTTATATGGACAGCAGTCCTCCAAACGAACAAAATAGAACACAATTATGCATTTCAAGCTGTTTAAATATTAAAAAAAAACCAATATATTCGTTTCTTCAAAAGGCCAAGAGGTGGAAGGTGACTTTTATAATTTGTTCGTATTTTTAAGGCGGATGTTTCCTACTCTACAATATAGTCTGACTGGATTAGATCCACACAAACAGTACAACGTATTTGTGGATATGATCTTAGCTGATCCACACCACTGGAAATTCCAAGGTGGAAAATGGGTGCCATGTGGACAAGCTGAACCAGTGCCTCAAAGTAAGTGTTCATTTCCATGGGCTTTGTTTTCTTTCACATGGACATAATTTGTTTTTCTACTCAAAACGACAGTATGCGTTATTTTGGATGCACAAAACAAGTTGTTTTTATTTTTAATGGCAGCAAAAAAGATTGTTATATTTGCACCTTATAAAGCAATTTATTATTTATTTTTCCAATGTTATGTTATAGATATAAAAAGAAACCCCCCCCCCCCCCCCCCCCCCAAAAAAAACAATCTAATTAAAAAATAGGCACGTGGTTACATCGGAATGTAGAAAAATGTTCATTTATCAGTATATGATTTGCATCACATAACGACATGAATAAAAATAAAACGTGGTTTCACATCAATGAAACAGCAACTTTACGACTAAAACAACAAAATAAAAATAAGGAGATGTGGTATGATTGCCAATGAGACAACTATCAACCAAAGTTCAAATGAAGTGGATGTAAACAATTTTAGACAATCGTATGGGCTTCAACAATGAGAAAAACGGTGTTAGTTTGCATTTTTCTTAAATGTTAATAAGATTAGCTGGTCCGTATTTGATCTTTTCTCGGGTCATGTATTTTGTTTTTCTTTAAGATAAATGTTAATTCCGTGATCTGTTAATAGACACGAGCTCGATTTTTTCCCACGTTTCGTATTTTTCATTAAATTGTTAATTTATCAGTGAACATGCACGACATGGATTTTTTCGTGTGACGTATTTTTGTTTTCTTCTACGAAAATTGATATTTTTTCTTTAGTAGGTACAAACTTGATTTTTTCTCGCGTGATATTTTTTTTTTCTGTAAGAAAACCATTATTTTATCAGTGAACATGCAAAACATAAAAGTTTTTTCGCGTGACGTATTTTTCTTATTTCTTTGACGAAAATAGTTAATATATCAGTTGTTACGCACAAATTTGACCTTTTCTCGCGTGAAGTTATTTTGTTTTCCTTTAAGAAAACTGTTAATTTATCAGTTAACAGGGACGTGTTGAAGCCCTTTCGTACAAAATCGATTTTCTCTTTGTTTTTATCACCACATGTTTTCTTATGTAACGTTATTTAACAGTTTTTGAATGTGATAAATAAATCAACTGTTTGTAATATTGACTTTCTCAAACAATTGGTTCACATGCAATTTATTTCATTTCATTTCCAAAATGTTTTGTTTTACGTTTTATAGACTACTTGCTTAAAGGCCAAATAAAATACAAAATGTTTCCATTTATCGATAAACTTATATATACATTTGATTTCAAAGAAATAAAATAGAAGAAGATCAAAAAGGGAGGATCAAAACTTATAAATCGAAAAGAGACAGACAAAATCGGGACATTAAACCGAAAATTGACAACAACATACAACATTCTATATAAGCTTCCTCCTGCATTACAAAATGACCGCCATGATATAGATAAACATGATAGAGAATACATGTAGCGTTAAACACCAACAATCAATCAATCAGCCATCTTTATATTTTTTTCATGATTAAATTTTATAAATGAATTCGATTCACATTTAAATGTACAAACATAAGCTTTTTACCGAACATTTTTATGAAGGGAATTTATTTTTATTCAAATATTCAATCAATTGATACCATTTTATTTCATTTACATAACCGTCTTTGCCTTTCTCGGTCGTTAGGGCGTTTGCTTCTATGTCTTTTATTTCAATGCAATTCGAACCTATTTAATAAAATAACATGTCTACTTTTACATAGATCTGCCTTTAACTGATGGCTGCATAGAACTTTAGCTAATACATGAGTCAATAGAACCAGATACATGTATCTCATTTCTTTATCCAAATGAAATAAAAAAGATCGTGTGACCATTCATTTATCGACTAAATCTTTGTACATCCGAACTAATTGTCAACATAAACGATTCGTAATTAAGCCTCTATCTATTATAATCCGTAACAATAATTTCTATATAATAGTCCACGGATCCAAATTACCGTTGGATTAATAATTCACCTGTTACTATTATATTGATTGTTTTTGCCTTTCCTTTCGATCATAGACCTTTAATATCCTACTTGTATTATCCAATTTTTTTGCAAATGGCAAATTAGCCATCAATTACTCTGGCCAATGTATCGTAATTCTCAGCGACGTTCACAATGGGTGCCGTATTGCTTGCTATAGTTGGCGTTATTAAAGGGTGGACAATTCCTAGCCGTTTTAAGTGGTATGGTCATGTTTCCGTGGTTAATTACATTTAAATAAGCGAACGTCAACAATAGAAAGGGAAAATAATTATAGAAAATCTAACATGGATTTTGTTCACCTGGTCATTGTTAATACATTCGGTTTTTAATGCTGTGTGACTATGATGTATTGTATTACGTACATGTTGATGCAAAATAGTAATATATAGAAGCACTACAATTACAAATCTTTCAATAACATGCACATTTTTAGATAAAAATCGGTCGATGTATGTTGAATCATTATTTCCCCAAAAAGGTTATTACGATACACCTTTGAAATGTTCCACGAGACTGTTTAACTATGATATTCATTTATAAAGTCTGAATATCAGCATTTTCCCCGCCCATTTCCTATAATGAAACCGGTCTATGAAATAGTTGATATCTATAAGTACGTGTAGTGTACATGTAATCTTGAACTTTATACTTAGTTTTACAAGACTCATCTTTGATCAAAATTGTCATCATTAATTTAGGTTTATTTTTATTCTTGTTTACTTTCAGCTGGGAAGGTGTACCTGCATCCAGACTCGCCAAGCTCCGGCGCCCACTGGATGAAGCAGGATATAGTGTTCAGTAAACTGAAATTGACTAACAATAAAAACAATTCCGGTGGACATGTAAGTCAATATCTAAATTAAATGTCTATTTTTATAATTTCTGAAATTCAGTTTATTCTTGTTTAATTTCAAACTGTTTTTTTTTTGTACCATTTTCTTAACCATGATATCTGTTTTCATGTAAATGAACGAGCATTTAATATACAAATATGAAATTTTCCGATTAAATAGACTACATTTACAATGGGGAATCGTAGGAACATTTGCAATTAGGAATCATACGAATTAACTTGTAACTCGAACACACGTGGATATTATATTACAAAAAAATCAGATGAGAGTTAATCTTATTGGCCAATGCTTGTTTAATATACGGAGTGTCATTTATTTGAAAAAAAACTCGTTGCATGGATATATGTGTTTTAACTTTGTCTATACTTGCCATTCAATAACATTTCTTTTCATCATTTTACAGGTTGTTCTGAACTCCATGCACAAGTATCAACCCCGTATACACGTGATCGAAGTTGGCGGAGGACAAGGAGACCAAAAGAATCTTATGACGCATGCGTTTGAAGAAACACAATTTATTGGTGTCACTGCTTATCAGAACACAGATGTAAGTTTTAAAGAACAATTTCAAATTAATATTACAACAATAGAAAGCATATAAATTTAATCTACTTATTTAATAGAAGTAAGAAATAAAACATGGCCCAAATATGTAGCTCTAGATAAGCTCATTTGGAATTTTTTTAACGTTGTAAAATATAGAGTTAGTGTAATTCTTAGCCAATCTTTCAAGAGTTATCATACGGTTGTAGAGTAAAAAAAATATCAGTATATTTAGCACGTGAATTGATGTATGCATTAAACAAAACAGCATTACAAACCAACAAAACAGCATTACAAACCAACAAAACAGCATTACAAACCAACAAAACAGCATTACAAACCAACATACATGTTTGTTGTTATCCTGTATGGTAATTTCCCTTTTTTATCACAGGTGACTCAGCTGAAAATTGACAACAATCCATTTGCCAAAGGATTCAGAGACAATTTTGACAGGTAAGTTACTATACATAGAAACCCCGACACAATCTTTATGTGTCTGTACTAAGTCAAAACCCTGCCACAATTTTTATGTGCCTGTACTAAGTCAGAAACCCCCGCCACAATCTTTATGTGTCTGTAATAAGTCAGAAACCCCCGCCACAATCTTTATGTGTCTGTACTAAGTCAGAAATCCCCGCCACAATCTTTATGTGTCTGTACTAAGTCAGAAACCCCCGCCACAATCTTTATGTGTCTGTACTAAGTCAGAAATCCCGCCACAATCTTTTATGTGCCTGTACTAAGTCAGAAACCCCCGCCACAATCTTTATGTGTCTGTACTAAGTCAGAAACTCCGACACAATCTGTATGTGCCTGTACGAAGTCAGAAACCCCCGCCACAATCTTTATGTGCCTGTACTATGTCAGGAACCTGTAATTGAGTGGTTGTCGTTGGATTATGTGTGTTATATTTACTTTTCGAAAATTATATTGTTTTACATTATATATATATATATAGATATATATATATGTTTTGACGATTTATTCACCGATTGCTTTTATTCACACATCGTTCGGTTTGCCATTTTATCCACTAACAAAATAGAGTTTAAATGTTGATACTTGTAAAATGAAGGGCATATCGCGGGAGTACGAAATTATTTTTACACGAATCCGCATCCGTAGTGACATCTAAGTTTTCAGAAAAACAGAAAGAAGATATCAGGGGCAATTACAAATATTAAGTCCAAAGTAAAAAAGATGAAAACGACGAAAAACAAAATAACAATAATGACAAAACGCTATGTAGAACACTCAACATTGAGCAATACGAACTAAACTACAAAAAAAAAAACACCGAGGTAGAAGGGCAAGCAGGTCCTCCTCCGCTAGAATCACCTGTCGTATCACGTATTGCATGTGCAAATACGTTGTGAAATCGCATTAAACCTGATAATAATTGACATATTTACGATAAACTCTGAAACTTTGTGTCGCATGTAAAATGACATACAGCTAAAGTGATCAACTATTGCAGTTTATTATTCATTCGTATTTCCATTTGGTTCTATTCTCCACGAGTCAAGGTGTATATGATAGATAAAAACAGAAAATAAGCGTTTGTCGCCAATTTTCTGTAAATTTGTGTTATGAAATTTTAATATTTAAAATTCGGAATTTTAATTTTTTAGAACTTGTGATATTGGAACGCCTCCTCCTTCTTATCCAATGCTTACCATGGCACAACAACAACAACAGCAACAACAACAGCAATATACCCTCCGGGAACATATGTACACAGATGCGCATGGGCAGTTTGTTTCTAGAGTTCCATCATCATTCCAATCAGCCGACAGAGATATGTTGCATCTAAACCGAGAACAAGCAGAGCATCTCCGAAATGCAGAAATTCAAAAGTGGCAAATGTCCCTCAGAGAATCAGATAATCTTCAAAACTTCGATATTACAAAAAGGAACAAACGAAAAATGGAAGATAATATGGGAAAAGAAAGTGATGAATTTGAACAGAAAGACGCATTTGGACCCGAGTATGGCGCTGGACTTCCTGTTTCTTCCGGTGATAACTCTTATCCATATACAGCTTTTGTCAAACGTACAAAATACGAAGAAGAGGGATCAACAGACGTAAACGGGCACCTTACCAAAGAACAAACAGGATTTGGTAGTGGGTACCAGTTTAACGGTGTCTATGAAAACAATACTGGCACATATGCTGAGCCTGACAATAGAACACCCTCATACGAAACGTACAATGGTATGCATCAGCTTTACCAACAGTCACGTGATGTTCGACCGTCTGCAGTTTATTGAATATTGTGTAGTGGCGATTATGTTAATTTATTGATTGGTTGTGCCTTCGTAAGCATGATCTATTGTCATAAATATTTGTCATCCATATTCATGCATCTTAGTTTTTATAGAAATAAACTCATCATAGACCCAAACGGCAAATATCGCTACATAATACCTATGCAATTACGCTATTTTTGATAACATGGAGAGAAGATATGTTTCTATTAACTTGAAATGTGTTATCATTTTAGCCAGTTGACCGGAAACAAAAAAATCAAAACGTTTTCTGTTGATAGTCATGACATCAGGGCCAAAACTGATAATCTTATCGACCAACTGTCCCAGTTCAATATACGACCGGCCGATGTTCGCATAATAATAGAAAAAAATAGAAAAAAAATTGACACTTCGGTTAACGAGCGAATTCACCGTAACGTTACAATAGTAAAGCGACATAGATGTTAAACCTGCTGATTCCAGCCATAAGAAAGCTTAAAACGGACTAATATTGTCTGCTGTTGTCCAATGAAATCGTAAGATTTTATCAGTAGCGGGATAAAAATATAATATAAAAATATTTAATAAGGGGACGAAGTCCCCTATTACAGTAGAAAAATCAATAAAAAGAAAAAAAAAAAAAAAAAAAATCGGGAAAATTTCCCGAAATTTTCATTGTACTAATGAACTCAAAATCGTTAACTTTTTTTTTGTAACTTTTTTTAATTCCCGCATCTGCGCAGAAATCTACTTCCTTTTTCCGGTCTCTTAGTCATGAGACTGTGTAAAATATATATTTATCAGTCTAGTAAAATATAGGAAGGAACACACTACCAATTTCATTTTTAATAATTCTTTGATATGAAAAAAAGTTACCTGATGATAGCGTTTCTTTGTTTACATTGAATATGACGTCATAACTTAAATAACGTCACAACTAAAATCACCTAACAACAGAACCAAAATCGGAAACGTTACGGTATTTCCGTTTCTTTTTTAACATATGTTTGAATTAAAAAAAATAATTCATACAGACTTCGTCCCCTTTCACAGGTAATGCCTGCCTCATATTATAAAGATATACATCGGTAACATGTCATATTCACCTCCATAAGTACATGTCTTCATACAAGGATAAATGTTGTCCGTTCAAGTAAAATGGTTTCATAAAGACATAATGTCTGATTATCACTCTTATTTATTATACATGTCATTCATTGTCTTTACCATGGGACTGTTCGAAAATAAGGGAACATTAACATTTTAATTTATATTATCATTTATATATCATATTCATAAATGTGATTTTAACTCCATTTCATCCTATTTTATTTTGTCTTTTATTGTTGGTGCTTATTTTTACATGTTTTGTTGCAAGTTGTTTTGTATTATATTGTAAATTATTTTTATAATGAATCAGATATTTGGTTCATGTAAATAAAAATGAAAAATGACAAAGAATTGTTTCGCTTTCTATTCAGTATAGTCCACCGGCTAAGTCCAATATATTGGCACAATTGATCACTTTATGGTAAAAGCATGAAACTTTGCACAGCGTTAGATATGATGCTTATAATCATTTTTGGATGGAGCCATGTAAAAAAAATCCATAATGGCCGCCAAATTAAAAATGGCCGCCACTAGTCAATAGGCTAAGTCCTATGGTTGACCATGTAATGGTAAAATCACGAAACTTTGCACAGTGCTAGTCATGACGCTAACACACATTTTTGGACATAGAGCCATCTTTAAAAAATCTATAATGGCCGCCAAATTCAAAATGGCCGCCAATATTCAAATTGGCCGCCAATATTCAAGAGGCTAAGTCCGATTTATTGGGGTATTTGATCACTTTAAAGTAACAGTTTGAAACCTTTCACAGTTCTAGTTATGAAGCTAACAAACATTTTTGGATATGGAGCCATCTATAAAAGTTCACTTATGGCCACTAAATTCAAAATGGCCGGCAATAGTCAAAAGGCTAAGTCAAATGTATTGGTGTTATATATTGATCTTTTTATAGTAAGACTGAAACTTTGCACAGTGTTAGTTATGAGGTTTTTAAACACGTTTGATAATGGAGCCATATAAACAAATTCCAAAATGGCCGCCAAATTCAAAATGGCCATCAATAGTCAAGAGGCTAAGTTCAATATATTTGTACAATTAACCAATTTAAAGTAAAAGCATGAAACTTTGCATAGTGTTATAGTTATTATACTAATGCTCATTTTCTTATATGAAGCCATCTGTTTAAATCCATAAGAAGCGAGTTTCAACATATTTCATAGAATGTTCAAGGAATTTTATTTGTAAACATTTGACCAATCTGAAGCTATTTTAAAATGCTTTTTTACCAGAGAGTAATGCGCATCTTTCACCAGCTGAAATGAGATTCAGCGAACCAGATATCTCATTAGTGGAAGGCGAACTATCAATTGATATGTCTTCATTCCAAGTTGTATTGAAAGCAGAAGTAAAGTAGCTCAAAGATGTTAGCAAAAATTCAACTCTTAAGGCTGAAGTTGGAACAAACATTTCCTGTTGACTGCTGTACCCCTGTTTTTGACATTTTACCTATTATGTCTGTTTGTTTTGTTCACACATCGTTGTCAATATGATTGAATTTTATGCGACTGTCATACAAGTGAGAGGTTTAGCTAGCTATAAAACCAGGTTTAATCCACCATTTTCTACATAAGAAAATGCCTGTACCAGGTCAGGAATATGACAGTTGTTATCCATTTGTTTGATGTGTTTGAACTTTTGATTTTGCGAATTGATTAAGGACTACCGAATTTAATTTTCCTATCCTCGGAGTTAAGTATTTTTGTAATTTTACTTTTTCCTGGTCCGCCTATCATGCTTTACGATGCCAGATGGGAATAAACTACTAGAAATCTGCTCTCTTACTTCTGTTTCACGAGGAAGCTAAATATGTTTTTAAAGCAATGTTACGACATTTATTGAACTCTAACATTTGAAGGACCCACACCAACTTGTTAAACCACCAAAAGCCACTGTACATAATGTATATACGTTATTTTATAGACTATTTTATTTATTGTTTATAATTATTTTAATCAAGTCCATATGTACATAGAACATAAGTTCCAGTCCATATGTACATAGAACATAAGTTCCAGTCCATATGTACATAGAACATAAGTTCCAGTCCATATGTACATAGAACATAAGTTCCAGGAAGTTTTACACTCCTACCCAGGAGTCTACTGTCGTATTCGGGAAAAGAAGTAGAACTTATTCATAGAGCTGTAACATGTGTAAGACAGCCAAATCCAGGTCAAACTCCCGTTCTTGCTTTTGACTAACCATTTTTCACAGTGGTAAAACTAGAACTGGTTTCGGATGTATAATGAGGAAAACTTTGTCATGATGTTTGACGGCCCACACATAGAAATGACTGCGTTCAAAGCCCTTGGTAGTTGGCTTGAAGTTAGCTGATGGACAAGTGTTTAAGTAGATGCTCAGGTTACATCATCCGCTATAGCAGATTCATTCCTGTATACGTCTCATGTTACAAAACATTTATTTAGAGAACATTAAGTCACAGCATGTACACTTAACCCTTTTTTGTCAAACCCTTACCGACATTACACAGATTCTTTGAATGATGATGAGGTAATGATAGTATTTGAAAAATGGTGTTTGGAAAGGTCAAAGAATCTCCTTATTCTACATCCTGTGTTTGGAAAGGTCAAATAATCTCCTTATTCTACATCCTGTGTTTGGAAAGGTCAAATAATCTCCATATTCTACATCCTGTGTTTGGAAAGGTCAAAGAATCTCCTTATTCTACATCCTGTGTTTGGAAAGGTCAAAGAATCTCCTTATTCTACATCCTGTGTTTGGAAAGGTCAAAGAATCTCCTTATTCTACATCCTGTGTTTGGAAAGATCAAAGAATCTCCTTATTCTACATCCTGGTATGTAGTCCTGCAATTTAAAGTGGACAATTATAGATATTTGTTTAGTATATACATGAGAATAATGCATTGTCGATGGAACAACATTTGTCCTTGATAAAATCAAGAGGAACAAGTTACCACTTTTCCAAACACCACCTCCTGCAAAGAAAACTTTTACAATGGATCACTGTATTTGAAAAGTAATTGTTCTTTATCTTCAAGACTGTATTTTGTTAGTCAATCAATAGATGGAAACATCGCTTAGTCAAAATGGTACAATGCGTTTTAGAACAAAAGCTGACACATGCATTATGTCAAAATGTCTAGATGATTTGTCTTTTCTAACAGATGATCAATCTGTGATGTCTTCTTTTATTTTTGGTGGATCTGCATATTCTCAATATTGGAAAAGACGGACAAAGAAATGACATTGTGTTTGACACGTACTTTGATAATAGCTTAAAAACGTTTACTCGTGGAAAACGTGGTAAAGAAGGCGAGTCCAAGATTTTTTACGGCGCCATTTTGAATTTAGACGCCATTTTGATTAATAGTGTATTTATAAAGTTGAAAAAAATAATTATTGGCATATATTAAATGTATTTCCTTAAATTTGTGATATCTGCTGAACTCTTGCATATAAGTCGACTTCATCAAATGAACGATGTTGTACTCCCGGTACCTTATGTCGGCCATCTTTTTTTGGCGGCCAAATGTGATTTTTGTCGAGCCTTCGACTTTTGTTGAAAAAGCGAGACATAGCGATCCTACATTCCGTCGGCGTCGTCGGCGTCGTCGGCGTCGTCGGCGGCGGCGGCGGCGGCGTCCACAAATATTCACTCTGTGGTTAAAGTTTTTGAAATTTTAATAACTTTCTTAAACTATCCTGGATTTGTACCGAACTTGGTCAGAAGCTTGTTTATGATCAAAAGCTAGTACCTAGAAGGAAATTTTGTTAAAATTTTGTACCTGTTTATCCGTATTTTACTTATAAATGGACTTAGTTTTTCTTCCAGTTAACATTACATACAGTCTGCAGTTAAAGATTTAAAACATTTATTAGATTCATAAACTATCCTGGATTTTTACCAAACTTGGACAGAAGCTTCTTACAATCAAAAGATAGTATCTATAGGAAAATTTTTAATATTTTTTTCCTCATTTTTGTTGAGCCTGCGATGAACAGCAAAAGTAGGCGAGACACTGGGTTCCGCGGAACTCTTATGAATTTTTTTTTTCGTTACTCCATATCTGAATTTTGTTTATACCCCTTAATCTTTCAGTATGCCAAGTTTCATGCTTTTACCATAAATGACCAATTATTCTTATATCCGCTGGACTATACGTCTTGATTGATCGATTGGTGTTTAACACTATTTCAGCACTATTGTACTATTTTGTGGCGGTCAGTTTTTATTGGTGAAGGCATCCGGAGTGCCCGGTGAGAACAACCGACCTTCGGCAGGAAAACTGACAATCCTAGTCAGTCAAGATTAGAATCGAGCACACCTGTCACGTGCGTGATTATAACTCACAATATTGCCAGACTAGTGATACAATAGTTAAACAGGTCGGGAACTCTAGATTTCCTGAAGTCAGAATATATTTGCATCGTAATTTCCCAAATAGACGGCAAACGTGGCCTTGAAAAACTGACCAATCGACTCAATGAACTACATTGCATTATGGGCTCTTACGAGTTTACTACCACTTGAAAACACG